TAGCCTGCTGGCCCACAGGAAAGGAAGGAGTAGAGGGAGTCAGTAATCAGACTCACTAATACCATGACAGAGGAGCACCAGAGGAGAGAAACTGACTCATTTTTCACGTGTCCCCTCCATTGTTGGGTTCTTCTGTGTACACAAAGTTGGCTTTATCCTCTTTTGCCCTCTGGTGCTCCGACAGTGGTTAGCTCCTAGGACTTGGACTTGGACTCAATTCTGTGAGCTGCAAAGACAACAAATATTTACATATCAGTTGAACATGATGCATGCATATATTGCAGGCTTTGGTCATGCTGCAGTTAGTGTGCAGCTACATGATAACAATACCAGGTCTTACTGTAGCTATAGTGGCTGCATACTAACATTGCTTGGGTATCCGTAGAGGCTCATTTTCTGCAGAGATGACTTGGTGCATAACACCTCTGAACTGGTACAGCAATTTCAGACTCTTCTCCTCTCCTACACATGGGTCGTAGAAGCCAGGCAACCCCGCCTGCAAACATAAAAACCATTCATATGCATACATGCAGATTTACAAATGCACAATCGCACACGCTGACATGTGAACACACACCTTAGAGGCCTCGGTGAGAATGAGTTTAGAGTCTTTGACCAGGCATTGCAGAGGCACAGTGACATCGATGACCTTGGCTTTCTCCTGTTTCTGGCTGGTGTCTGACACAAACTTCCCATACCAAGCATTCAGGATGATCAGACCTAGTGATATAAGGTAAAAATATTTTCATCTAACATTTGTTATGTTTGTAAATGTGTTATAATAACAGAATACCCTCTAACATTTGGCAGATATGATAAGCAGACAGCTAGGATTTAGGTCGTGAGTTTCAAAGGTGTGAAAAACGTGTGGAAATGTAAATGAAGCCACTCAGCGTCAACATGGCCGTACTATACACGCCTACAACACTTCCCCTGCAACCCCTCCCCCCCCCCCAGCCAACATAGCCCCTTGAGTTAAACACAGCAAGGAGTTGTGTTTTTACCAGATCAGTCTGAATGGCCACTTAGTATACAAATTCCTCCTCCACCTACAGTATGTCAATATATGTCAAGCTGGTACTATGTCAGCTTGATATCATTGCTATGAAACAGTTTCCCCTTCTATTTCCTGGACAGAAACTCTAGAAGGTACCGCGAATACACCCAGAGATTAGCTCTTTCAAATAATCCATGCACTCTCTATATAACAGGAAATCCATTAGCCCACTGCATCACAGTTTTGATTTATTTGATTTTGCACTCTGGTGTTCTGTGCACAGATTTACAAGCTTAACCTGTGCAAACACTGCAGCACAGAGACACACCACATCATCATCATCATCATCATCATCACCAATTGCTTCACAGCAGTAGATGATGGAAGTTAGACTTAGCCAAACAGGATCCTGGAGCTACAGTATATTATACTGTTGACAGTAACCATGAGAAATGTGTTACCAAGTTTGGACTGGCTGCAAAATAAAATGGTTTTCAGTTTCTCACCCAAGTGTGTGTGTGTATGCGTGTGTTTAGCCTCACCCATCTTGGATTCTTCTGCTTCTATGATTCTCCTCACAGACTCCTGCATCAGCAGAACCTACAGAGGAGCCAGGGGAGAAAGAGGAGGAGGAGGAGGAGGAGGAGGAGGAGGAGGTGGTGAGATGAGAGAGAGTTTCAGATGAGAGAAGGAAAGCTGAACCTAGAAAACAATGATCCACACACAATGAAAAACTGTCTGTTTGCCTGCGAGCAGGAGTACTCACAGCAGACTCTGCCTCCTGCTTCTTCTTGGCAATATCTGTGGCAGAGCTCTTCCTCTGCAGCTCCAGCTCTCTGAGAGGCACAGAGACAGACAAAGCAGACAATCACCTGGTGGGACTCACTGTGCAGGCGCTCTCTGATGACAGTATACACATGAAAGAAAGCCCTCAAGTATTAACAGCACCCATAACTGAAATGCACCCCATGTCAGGGGTGTGGAGCTGCCTTTAGCTGAGGGGCAAGGTTTCCTGATTTACTGTGTGTACACAAATTACATAAAAAAAACAGAAGAAGATGGTGTAAATTCTTAGTACTGGTATGGAAAGATCCATTCACCTCATATATAATTATATAATATTTATTGAATTATACTTTGACACTAGCGTAGTACCACAATTTTCTACTAATGAGACGAAGAGAGATGCTGATTGTGGCAGAGGAGATGTACTCACTGCTCTTTCTGTGCTTGTGTATATGGGATGATGATCAGTCTGTGGATGGCCGCGTAGACCAGCAGTGGTCCAACTGTGGCGTAGAAAGCAGCACTGGGCAGCAGTTGGTCTGTCAGGTGGACTGGAAACAGGTACGTTTGATTGGCACGTGCCAACCTGCATGGAAACACAAGCACAAACATAAACACACACGTCAGATAATCGCGCAGTAGGATAAAGCGCCACAAAACAATGAGATCATATTTTAGGTCAGCACTTGATCTTGAGCGTGACTCCCTGTGGGACGCCGACGCTGACAGTGGCTGACAGAACACTGTGTCGACTGATCTTCCTCTCTGCTCCATATTCTACCACAGTGCCAAACCAGCCTGTCCTGGAAAGGGAAAGACACAGAAGTGAAGAGAGGCCATTAGAAGAGCGGACCTAGGCAACAACTGAAGACAATATCATATCTTTTTCTTTTTAAAACATGCATCTTGATATTGGATTATGTGTAAAATTATGTGTGTTGTCATATCAACTGTTTTACATGCTTGAAAGAATAAATCAAATCAAATCAAATCATTTTCTTTCTTTTATTGCTGTGTTGCCTTTTCGTTCATTTCTGTATTTATTCATATTTTATTGAGTATGTCTTCTAAGATCTCTCTTCTATGTTGTACTACTGTTTATTGCTTTTTATCTCCTGCAGCTCTTTTAATGCTTCTTATGTCCTTGTCATTGTCTTTTATTTTCCTAACTCTCTATCACTTTGTATTTTTTTCTGGAAAAGTGGTCTAAAAATAAAGTTAATGAAATTAATTTGCAGGTCATATAATTCAATAGTTGACAGAAGATGTTTAATATGTAAGATGATAAGGTTATGTTCTATATTTTTTCACTGATATTGGATTATGTGTAAAATTATGTGTGTTGTCATATCAACTGTTTTACATGCTTGAAAGAATAAATCATATGAGGACGCAGGGACTCTAGAGGTTAAAGAATGAGTTCATGCCAGACCAAGAGGAAGTCTAATTGCCCTCTCTGGTCTGTTGCACCTCTGACCTCTGACCTCAGCCCACAGCGATGTCAGAGTGTACCAATGTACACTGGAGTACACTTCTACATCACTGCAGCAAGGTGGGAAATTAAACCAAAACCAACTGGTGTTTGTTTAGTTGATCTTTAAGACACGTTGACATTGAATCAACTGATTGTTTTTGATTTAAAGGGAACAAACTGGCATCTTCCATAGACAGACATACTTCACAGAGCCTTTAACTTTAGTCTGGTCTTCATCCTGGAACTTGTACTGGTAGCTCATCATCAGGTAGGAGTGGGGCACACCCAGCTGTAATGGGAAGGGTTCAGAATCCACAAGAGTAACGATAAAAAATAAGCATATTATATATAAGGATATAAGGAATTATATTTAAAATCATGACACAATGTATCTCTGCACATGCCTGCCTACCTATACATTTGTGCACATGCTTGTGTTTTTGTGTACCTGAAGAGCTAAAGTAAAGTGGCTGCTCTTTGTGTCTCGGACCAGGCTAGTAGTCATGGCACTGTTAGGCCCCCAGCGCCATTGAAGGTAACCCATAGTGTTCTGGTCCAGGTGGCGTGCTGTCATTAGAGAACAGCTTGGTCGTAAACCTCGAGGTGAGAACTGCAAACCACACTGGGCTGTCAGGAAGCTGCACAGAATGATGCCAGAGAGGAAATAAAAAGAGACCAAATTAAAGAAAACGAGAACGTCTTTCATATGTTAACATAATATGTATTATCATACAATAAGGCCTTACCATCGTGGAGTGAGATTGCGAAAAACCTTTAAGCCTATGAGCGGACCCAGTATGTCTCCTGCACCAAACTCCACCTGAAGAGACCAATGCACAGAATCATGGTTATACAGAGGTAGGAATGTACCGAATTAACTAAAAAAATGCATTATGTATCATAGCATTTAACACAAAGCATACTTACAATGCTTCTTCAACAAAAAGCCTCTAAACATGGTACTTTATATTTAAGCATTATTTAGCATGTAGCGTGTGGTTTGTGTGCATGTATCTGAATGTTTATGCACCTCTCCCCAGCCCTTGGCTGACGTAACCCTTCGTAGAGTCATGTTAATGTTGCCGCCTCCGTTCCCATTGTGTGTAGAGAGTGAACCGGACAGCACTGCTGTGTCAGAGTTGGTCAAAGGAGCCTGAACACAGACAGGAAAGTTGCACGTGATAAAACAAAGAGTACTACAGTGATCCAGGTAAGTAGCTGTGTTGTGTGTTTTGTTGTACCTCTATAGACTGCGAAATGTGCATCTTGTTTATTTCAATATGAGGAAAGCCTCCTCCTGGCATCTCTTCAAAGTCCTCATCATAGCGGTCAAACAGGTCCGTTGCATCCACACCCACACTGATGGTGCCCTGAGTAATGAAGGAGTGAAGGAAAGAGCCTGACAGAATTAATTAAGAAAGAAGGGTGAGTGACATAATGAGATGAATGTGGAAACCACAGAGTCAAAATGTAGTTGTGATGTTTAATAATATCTACACAGAAGTGGTGGTTGACACAAGGCAGACAGATAGAACTAACGAAGCTGACAAATGAATGTGATGCAGTTGTGATAAAAAAAAACCTTGGGATTAGTTCTTTGCTGCAGTCTCTTCTCTTCTCTTTCTCTCTGCAGTCTTTCATACTCCTCTTGAATTTCTGCTGGGGTTCTCCTCCTCTCCACCACCTACACAGAAGTCATTACCATAACATAACAAAAACAAAGATATGTTGACATCATATGTATAATTTAGTGAAAAATCACTTAGGACAAAAAATATATCTTAGACACAATATATACCTCCCAGCCTTCCACCTCCAGTCCTTTCTTCCCAAAGATGTCATAGATGGCTCTGGAGTGAGCATCACTCAGCACTGAGGAGACAGAGGAAAGTCACGGTTCAACTTATATAAATGTTTAGTCTTTGTTTTGATGTTGTTGTGTTTTGTCTGTTTTCCTGTCCTCATCCTGAAGAAACACTCTTCAGTTTCATCTGTATCCTTTTTAAACTGAATGGTTGTAATTCCTTTTGTATATACAGTACTTGACCTGTTCTTACCCTCATATGCCTGGTGCACCTGGTTGAAGAGCAGTTCCGCCTGTCTTTTTAGCTCTGGGTCTCGATGTTTGTCAGGATGATAGAGCATACACAGCCTCCGATATGATGCCTTTAGCTCCTCCAATGTAGCCTGTAAGACGTGACTGGACAGGTTTTAGTCCTGAGCAGTAAATCTTCACATTTCTTTCTTTCTTTAATTGTCACAATTGGTGAAGATTAATCTTCACTCAGTAGTTGACAGATAATTTCATCACAGCTCCTGAGAAATTTGAAAAAAAGACTCCATTTATAAAAAACAAGAAATTGTGATAAAACAGGAAATATAAAACAAGTGTGATAACGTACATCCTGGTAGGCATTGGTTCCTGCCACAGGAACTGTCTTGCATTATCTAACGTTGTTCAGAAGAAGCATAAACATAAGCATAAACGTTATTGCCAAGTATTATCAAAATTTGACTTTTGAAAAATTTGAAAAAGGAATTTGACTCCAAAACATCTAAGTCTTAGTCCCAGTCATGCCTCTCAATCCCCATTTGGTCTATGACAAAGTGCTCAGATGTGGTATCTGTGCCGATATCCAATTTAAAGTGTACTGTCTGCACACTGTGGAAAGTAGACTACGTGGTTAAATAGCACGTTTGTCCGTTTGTCCATGCCTCTGCAGCATCAACCGGACAGTTTCAATCCCACAGATGATGGTGCCGAGGAAGAAGATCGTTATTCACCTACAGCAAAAATATCACTGTTCGTGCTAAGCAGAAGCCATGGATGACAGGTGAGGTTCACAGACTCCTGAGGGGTCGGGATACAGCCTTTAGAGCCGGCGACACCGCAGGCCTACCAACAGCAAGAGCCAACCCATCCCATGGAATCAGGGAGGCAAAACGTCAATACAGCAAGAAAATATCTGGACACTTCAGCAACACTAGAGATACACAGAGTCTCTGGCGAAGCATCCAGACCCTCACAGGCTATAAACCCCCACCTCGGAGCTGTGACAGTGACCTCTCTCTGCTGAACAGCCTCAATGACTTCTTTGGCCGCTCCGAAACACAGAACAACACACCAGCACAGTCCACCCCCCCCCCCCCCCCTCACATTCCAATTCCAAAGTCAGTTACAGTGACTATATCAGCCTGTAATACTGACTTCAATTATTATGAAGTGCTTCAAGCGGCTGGTCATGCAGAACATAAAGTCCATCCTTCCTCCCTCTCATGACCCATTTCAGTTTGCATACAGGTCAAACAGGTCCACAGAGGATGCCATTTCTGCTGCTCTCCATCCATCCCTCATCCACCTAGAAGAAGAAGAACTCTTACGTGCAAATAATGTTTCTACACTTCAGTTCAGCATTCAACACAATCATCCCCCAGCAGCTTACACAAAAACCTGAACACTGTGTGCCAACCTACAGCACCAACCACATTGTCAAGTTTGTGGATGACACGACTGTAGTTGGCCTCATTACCAACAATGATGAGGCCAACTACAGGAGTGAGGTGTGCCAACTGGTCCAGTGGTGTAAGGACAACACCCTCTCCCTCAGTGTGGGGAAGACTAAAGAGATTGTTGTGGACTTCAGGAGGAAACCTCTAAAGCATCCACCACTGACCATCAATGGTGCTGTAGTGGAGAGAGTGAGTAGTACCAAGTTCCTGGGGGTGCACCTCTCCTGGACCAATAACAACACATCACTGGCCAAGAAGGCTCAATCACACCTCTACATCCCCCGCAAAATGAGGAGAGCCAGTGCCCCACCCCCCATCATGTGCTCCTTCTACCAGGGCACCACTGAGAGCATCATCACTGGCTGCATCACTGTGTGGTACAGAGGTTGTACTGCCTCCTGCAGAAGGACCCTGCGACGCATAGTGAAAACAGCCAGAAAGATCATTGGTGCCCCTCTGCCCTCCCTTACGGACATCTTTAACACCTGCCTCACCTGCAGAGCCATTGGCATTGCTGATGACACCTCCCACCCCGCACACTCCCACTTCAGACTCCTGGAGTCGGAGTCTTCAGGCCCACTCCACCAGACTTACAAACAGCTTCATCCTCCAGGCTGTGAGGATGCTGAACGCTGTCCCATTACCCCGGCCCCCCGGCCCTGGACCGTAGCCCACCACAGGACTTTAAAAAAGACTACCTCTGCTGTTTGTGCAAACTCAATATATTCCCCCTTTTTGTTATATTATATATAAATCTGCAGTTGACTGTTTTTTAACATCACTCCAACATCTACTGCTGTTGCCATTTGCACTGCTGTAAATGTACATTTCATAAGCTATTATGCATCTCATCACCAACGCCCCTGGTGATGCTGACCACCTGACAATCTTCTTTTTATTATTTGCACTACTGTCACTGTTTGCACATGGCTTTGAGTTTCTTCATAGCCTATTAGATTGTACCATTTAGTTTATGCTAATTACTTTAATTCAGTCTTCATATTTTATTTATTCTGAGTTTATTCTACTTTTATTCTATTTAGTTTCTTAAATAGTAGGGGCATTCAATATGAGGAGAGAGAAATAGTATTTCGATTTTTCTGTATGTCCTGCACATATAGTGAATTGACAATAAAAAAATCTTGATCTTGATCATAGAATAGCAATAGCTAATGTTTATTTTTTAGATTTGAATTACATTTTGACTGGAGCATGTTCTACCAATTTTCCCAGCACAATACACATAACAGGAAAATTGTGCATGCTTACATATAAACCTGTGCCATTGTTAAACTCTACATATACAGTGGTGTGAAAAAGTGTTTGCCCCCTTACTGATTTCTGGTCCTTCCTTATGATTAGAGAGTAATCTCTGTTGGTATGCTGCCAGGCTAGAGTTTCTCTCATTTTACTTCTCTTGTTACAGTTGTGGCAATGATGGATTTAAATAAAAGTAGCAATTTATCTGTAAAAATACTCCATTAGCCTATAGTGCCTATACAGTAGACTACAGGCTATAAAGTTAATGTCATGCTTTAGGCTACATTTTCCTTATAATACTGTTTGTGCAACCCCAAATCAGAAAAATTGGGACTGTATGTAAAATTTAAATTAAAACTGAAAATAGTGATTTGTAAATCATCTGCATACTGTATTACATTGAAAACAATGGTCCTCAAGGAAAGATAGTAAGGGATTTGGATATATCACCCTCTACGGTGCAGGACGTAATTAAAGGATTCAAAGAATTTGGAGGGATTTCAGTGGGTAAAGGGCAAGGGCGCAAGCCTGAGTTGAATGACTGTGCTCTCCGATCCCTCAGACACCACTGCATCAAGAATCATCACTCTTCTATTAGCGATATAATCACATGGGCTCAGGATTACTTTGGCACACCTGTGTCAGGCACTACAATAGTTACATCCATAAATGCTGTTTAAAACTGTGCTGTGCCAAAAGGAAGCCCTATGTCAACAGTGTCCAGAGGCTCTGGGCTCGGAGGCATCTGGGATGGACCGTCACACAGTGGAAATGTGTACTGTGGTCAGACGGGTCAGTATTTCAGATCTTTGTTGGAAGGAATGGACACAATGTGCTCCAGACCAAAGACACAAATGATGATCCAGACTGCTACCAGCATCAAGTTCAAAAGCCAGGGTCTGTCATGGTCTGGGGTTGTGTCAGTGTCCTTGGCAATGGTCACTTAAACTTCTGTGATGGCGCCATTAATGCTGAAAAGTACACAGAGATTTTGGAGCAAAATATGTTGCCTTCAAGACGACATCTTTTCCAGGGATGTCCATGCATATTTCAGCAAGACAATGCAAAACCTCATCCTGCATGTTACCAAGGCCTGACTGTGGAGGAAAAGGGTGTGAGTGCTGGACTGGCCTCCCTGCAGTCTTGATCTGTCCCCAATAGAAAATGTGTGGCACATTTGAAAATACAAATTGCGTCAATGAAGACCGAGGACTGTTGTGCACCTTAAGACTTGTTTGCAGGAAGAATGGGACAAAATGACACCTGACACATTAAATCACTTGGTGTCCTCAGTTCTTAAACGTCTTTTAAGTGTTGTGAAAAGAAACAGAAACTTCATACCATGGTAAACGCTTTACTGGCCCAACTTTTTTTGGAATGTGTTGCAGCATCAGGATTGAAGTGTGTTCGTTTTGAACAAAGAATAAAATTGATTTAGGTATCACATCAAATAATGTGCTGCTGTATTGTTTTCATTGTAATACATTTACAAATAACTATTTTTGGTTTTAATTTTGATCGTCCATACCGCCCCAACTTTTTCTGTTTTGAGGTTTTGTGTTACTTAAAGTAAAAGTTTGAATGCAAGATTTGTAAGGGAGTTGCTACTAATATAAGTAAATGTCTTTCACCACTTTGTAGACCTAACAATGGACTACGGAAGCATCTACGTGTTGTAGCATTTTAACGTCGTTGTTAGTCATGGTGAAGCAAATTTTTAATAGCCTACAAATGCTGTTAGCTATCTTAAATGCATTGTATTTCTCATTCTATGTTTTTGGAAATTAATCTAACTCATAGCTACCATACAATTTTAATTCAAGTGCAGGAAATGTCCTTACTTTACACCAATACTCAAGAGTTTAGTTCTTGACCTGTATTTTTGTTCCTATAAAAAGTGTCTGTCAACTATCATCCTGTGAATTAGGCTCTTTGTTGTTTATATGAAATGAAAATTGTCTGGTTGTTCCACATTTGTGCATGCAGCATCTTTCCTTCTATTGAAAAACGATTTTGAAGGTTTAAATTAAATTACAGGCTACTGATGTCACTTTTTGGCTACATTCCCTATTGTTATTCACCCTGTTAGAACTGTGTCGTTGCCAAGAACCTTGTGTGCATCTCCACTCAGAGGCTTCACTAAGCATGCGTGGCTGAGGACGAACCATTCAAAACATTTGTTTTCCGTGCGTGTCTGCAGAGAGGATTTTCTCTGCAAGGCTCTGGTTCAAAGGCAATATTCCAGCACAAGGCACAGTGACAGTGTGGGCTTGAAACAAGAACATAACTGTGCTCCACTATTTAGAAGAGTTAGCCTAGTGTAAAATGTAGAATTATGAATAGAATATAAATGAGAATATTAACTTGCTGGTTATTTTACCGGTAGCAGGGGATATTAAAGCAATGAGCAATGATAGCAACGATTTCCTGCTAGGGTCTGAATGGGTAATAACAAGGGGGGGGGGGCATGTTTTTAATTTCATCTTGTATACATTTCACCTGACCAATTATCGCATTAATTCAATAACGCGGCTCAAAGAAAGCAGGTATGAGTCCGCACCAGTCCGCGCAGCCTGTGTAGGCGCGTGTGGAGCTCACCTTTCAGCACCACAGCCAATGACAGCACCCACGCGCCTCTAAAGACTCTCTTTCAGACAACGCTTTTCATTTCAATTCAAGAGGGTTCATAATTTTGGATGAGACGAGACCTTACGTCCCATTTCTCAACAATCCATTGGTTATGCATGTAAATAAATCGCTAATGTGTATGTAATGTATATAGGTGTGTACTGTGTTGTGTCTGTGTGTGTGAGAGAGAGAGAGGGAGATGATGATGAGCATGATGATGATGCTGTGGGAGGCTGTCAAGGTGTCCTCGAATACAGACGTCGTTCAGTGACGTGACAGGAGAGAGAGAGAGAGAGCCGGGCTGCCAGTCTTCGCCGTTTGGACCAATAGTCTTGCTGAACGCGGCAGGCTCGACCCCCCCCAGACCCCCTCTTCTCAGCCCCGCCCCCCTCCTTGAGCTGTCCTCTCTGTGCACGCGCGTGGTCCTCCCCCCCTCCACCGCGCCACCACCTCCACCACCACTAGGTCGAGTCGAGGAGGAGGAGGAGGAAGAGGAGGAGGAGGGATGAGGCGCGCGGCGGAGGGGAAATGGCTGCCGAAAACAAGCCGGAAGGTAAGAGAGAAATAACGGTTTTTATCAACGGCGACAGAGTCCTGCTATTCGGGGGTTCAGAGGAACCGACGAAGAGACGGAGGTAGAGAGGTGGAGAGCGATAACGGCAGACCTTCCCCTTCCTTCTAGCTTGTCCGAAAACACGGACGCTGGTGCTGAACCAGCGACTGTGTGGAACACGGTTAACCGACAGCAAATAAATAACGGAAGGAGAGTTGCCTTGTCGGTATGCTCAGAGTGAGTCGGAACGGGGTAGCCTTTCACCGTCCGATGCTCGCCAGCGTTTCTCCTGAGCAGCTGGTTTATGAGTGCCTTTTGAGGATAGCATAAAAGGGATGGAGATGAGAGAGGATGAGAGTGGTTCACGCTGAAGGAATTCAGATGCTTTCTCTCGTGTGTGTGTTTATCTCTATCTCTCTTTAAGCATAAAATTGACTACTGACTGTAGATTTTCCTTTCCTGTCAGTCACGTAACCGCTGTCCAGCTGTGCGCTATTTAGTGTGTGTGTGTTTATGTTTATGTTCATTTGGTGTTGTGCTTATGGTTGCCAAGGCAGTGAAGGTGAGAATCAGACTGCATTTAGGTTGGATAGGAGGATGTAAATGTGCCAGTTTTAGGTCACATCATGTATGAATCTAGTTTAAATTCGTACTCCCTCAGCTAAACTCTTGGGGTCACCTTCTCTTTCCTAAACTATTTAAAGGGTGACCAAAACCACCAAGGCAATATTTTTTTCTATCTCAACTCATGGGTTAATGAAGGTTTTATTCCTTGCTCAATGCGTTTGCCATTACGAACAGTCTAAGCATCACTTTCATTTTCTTTCCTCTTTAAGGTGCTGTCGGTGTCACAGAGGGTTAAATTGCTTAAAGAAGCCCATCAGGCCGATAAACATAAAAGATGAATGTATTATGGATGAAAGTTCCATATCGATTTAACAGCTACACTGATATATGGCACTGAACATTTTTTGTAGATGTCAGGTTCACTGTTAGATTACTTTTCTATGATTATTTTAATCTCTTCTTCAGCAAAGTGATACTGAAAATGATAGGGGAAGCCTTTAACCCTCTCCCCACTAGGGAGCAGTACTGAGCGAGATTTCTCTGAGGGGTAATTTTTGGATAACTTGAATTGCACACATACACTTGTGAAGTACATTTTCAGGCACACAGCACTTAAAGTCATATGTGCATACAGCGTGTAGCCAGAGGCAAAGGAAAGGCCGTGGGTTGAGAGCCTCGTTGCGTGAAAAGACCAGAACTGTAGATGAGACAGAAGGCTCATGGGCAGATCAGCAGGCACTGTACCACTTAAATGTAAAACCATCCCCCTGTCCATACTGTACCTCCACGCTCACGCAAACAAACACACATCCACAATATGAAGAGTTTATGTCCATTGCTCCCTCAGTGTTATGTATACAGAGGATGTAATAATTTACGAGTCTCAGCCATGCTGAATGAAAGCCAAATGTATCATGGCGACGAAGGCAGGAGACAGCTATCCACTCGCTCCATCCTCTGGCAGATGTGCATGGCGCCGATCAGCAGAGTACGACATCCACCATATAGCCTAGAAGACCATCTCCCTGTGTGCTGGTTGGTCTACTTTGTATCATAGCAACAGTGATCAGGGAAACAGAGAAATGATGGGAAAGAAGAGAAACTAAGGCTGGGTACAAGTTAGTCACACACACGGAGGCAGTGTATCTACTGTGGCCAATCGATCAGGGGACACAATGGATGCAAGTTAGTGGATCAGAAAATGGATCAGCCCACATGCATATCACTTGGAGTTTTGTTTCTGGGCTTTAGAGGAGGAAGAATGAGGTGAGGTGTGTGGCTGCCAAGAAAACCAAAGTCTGGAGCGTCTTCTAAATATGTCTATATCTTTGTCTCTGTCTCGCTCTTTTTTCTCTCTTTGTAGGACTGAAGAAGATAAGAAATCCAGAGCGCATGGTCAGGATTGCCGTTGGTTACACAGGACACACCCCTCCAAAGAGTGACGACACCGACGCCAACAGTAAGAGACGCACAAACGCTTTTCAAACTCTTTATCTTTCTGTGTGTGCATGTATGTGTGAGAGTGTTTAAGTGCCACACGCACATTTGTCTGTAGCACAGGGTGACTCTGGGAGCAAGCATAAAAGCCTTCTGGCAGAATGATGTGAAGCAGGAACTGAGGTCCCCTTCTCATCTGCTCTGAAACAGATCACACTTATACAAACACACACTCTGCTGAGATGTCATTCCAATTCAGCTCAGTTACACATCATGTTTATTCATGTGCGCCAGTAGAGTATTAGTAGGCACGTACACACACACACACACACACACACACACACAGACATTGCTGCACACAGCCACAGAGAAGGCAGGGCTTACTTTGGCTATCAGTAATTTATTGTCATACCCAATCTGTGTACATGACATTATGTATCTATAATCCTCAATGGGCCTGGGTAAACTAGAAGTGAGATGGAGTGTGTAATCTGGGGTTGCCACATGACTCTGCATGTGTGTGACTGTGCCTGTGTGTGATTGCTGTGGTGTGTTAGAGGAGCTATAAAAGCAATGGCTGCTTTGATTGGTAACTGATTCCAAAGGACATGACACAGATGCATGTCTCTATGTGTGTGTGTGTTAAGGGGTCAGATTGGAAGAAAATAAACAGATGTGAGGAGGAGCAGGCCTGTCAGTGTTTAGTGAGGTGGTAGTGGCGGGTTATGGGTATAGGGAGGGTACATGAGAACCCCTCTCCTCATACACACACACTCCACCTGCCTCCTCTCATCCCCTCTCACCCAAACATATGAACACACACTCGATCCCAACCCCTTTTTCATTTCAGAAGGAGCAGATGGCTTCATACCTGCACCAGACACCCTCTAATTTTGTTAAGAGGGTTGAGAGCAAATGATACTGTCACAAAATAGCAAATATAAAATTAGGGAAAACTCTGAAAAACAGTACAATAGAAAGGAATGTAAGTTCTGTTTGGGATGACTGTTTAATATGAGCGGAGACTTCCTGAGCCTATCCCTGTCTCCTATCTGTTCTCACATCCCAGCTGGAGGATTACTGGAGGAAAAGTTTATCAGCAGAATGATAAAATTAGCATGCATGCCCATCTCTCTATCCTTTCCCCTCCCTCCACCCCCCTTCCTGCACTCTCTATCATCCCATGCTATGCTCTCCCCTTTCTTCTCCCTGCCCTCCCACCCTCCTCTCTCTCCCTCCCATCCCTCTATCTAGCTGCTGTGCAATGAGCCTTTCTTTTCTGTGACATTAATTTCTTTCCGAAAAGGGGGGAAATGTAAGAATTTCCCCTGATACCTCCTAATATCAGTAGGGGGAGAGCTAAGAGTTGCATTTGGAGCATTTTTCTCATTCTTTACTTAGGAGACTTTTATAATTAACTGACAGCCATCTCACAAGGGCATTGGCTTGTTTCTCTGTTAAATATGGAGATGACAGTTTTATGAGGTAAAATATTCATCAGTCAGAAGCTCTGTGTTATCCTGTGTGATTCCAGTCTACATTATGGTATTTGACAGGCTACTAAGGTAATGCTTCACTTTGGTCCAATATTTTCACTTTTTATCACGCTTACCTCTCTCTGTATGACTTAATGAGCCATCAGTTTCACATTAGCATTCAGACTCTGTCACACTTTCGAACAGTTTTACTACATTAGGAACTGAGTGAGTGATCTATGTACAGACAAAATTTGTGACTTACTGCCGAGGGACATGAAGCAATGCAGGTACTGAAACGCAGTGGTGGAAGTACTCAAATTGTTTACTTAAGTAAAAGTAACAGTACCACAGTGTAAAAATACTCTGTTACAAGTAAAAGTCCTGCATTCAAAATGCTACTTAAGTAAAGGTACAAAAGTATTGGCATCAAAATAGACTTAAAGTACCAAAAACAAATGTACTTATAATGAAGAATAGCACATTTCCCATTAGTGTATGCATAGTACTGCTGGATATTTTGTGAATTTCTCACCAGGGATCAATAAAGTCAGATGATTATATTGTATTTTGGATATTTAGTCTGATTCTGGAAAGTTACATTAAAAACATGTAGTGGAGTAAAAAGTAAAATATTTGCTTCTAAAATGTAGTGAAGTTAAAGTATGCAGTAGCAGAAAATAAAAATAGTCAAGTAAAGTACAGACACCTCAGAATTGTACCTAAGTACAATACTTGAGGAAATGTTCTTAGTTAATTTCCACCACTGCTGAAATGGTTTTATTATTTTAAATCTAAATATTAAAGTGAACAGCACTGAATTTCCATATTTAGATGTATTTTCTCTGTGTCCCATGATGATTCATTTTCCTGGGTAGTGAGAAACAAAAGAAAAGTTTTTGCCCCATGTCACACCACACTACAGCTCCACTGAGAGTCATTTGGAACAGATGGAAAAGATGATTGCGACAGTACCCGGGCTGAATTTTTTTAAACAGGGACACATTGTCTGGTTCGGGATTGTTAGAAATACAAGAAGGAACTCTTTGGGGTGTATAAAGCTCATCAGCATTCAACAAAGTTTGTCCTCCATTCATCATAGTGTAAATGTGAGGAAAGGTTAAGATGATGGTCGCGTCCATGTGTTTTGAAAGGGATTTTGGTACCAAGGTCACTGAAAAAAAAACGCCACTCTAGGACAAATACTGTGATGTGCATTCTTTGATCGGCAGGCACCCCACGTGTGTCTGTTTGTGTATGTGAGCTTGCACCTATGTGTGCACGCTGGGTTTTTGTGGGTGTGCCTACGCATGTGCGACGGCCTTGTTTGATGTGGTGGTCCTGGTACATTTCAAAGGCGCGGCTCTGATGAGAATTCTTCAGAGCAGTAGGGGGAGAGGACAGGGTTATAGCCAGGAGGGGTGGGGTTTAAACGCTGATTGGCATTCATAGCAGAGAGGCTGGAGTGCTGCTAAAAAAGAAATTAGGCTTTAACTAAGCTGCACCATTCAGCTGTTTAACTAAGCTGCTGCACCGTTCAGCTGTTTGAAATTCTGTCTTCTCAGGCCTTCTATTAATAAATGCATAATTGATTAGGGGGAGCATACGTGCCTGAACACACTTCCTACTGACAAACACACACATGCTCACCACCTACATACCCACATAGACCCCACTCCTGTCCTCCTATAGTATTTTTCTCTCTTTGTGTCATTGTGTTACCTTGTTTCATCTCTTGTCCTTGAAAAATTCTTACTTTATGATTCTCATTCTCTCTTTACATTTATTTTCTTTTCTTTATTAACTGTCTCTCTATGGCTCAGTGTCGCCCGCCCTGACCCTCCCATCCTACCTATCCCTCTTTTTCTCTCCCTCTGTCGTCCGCCCTCAGGTAGAATATAATTCCTAGTTTCCCAGGGGAGTTGAATGGATGTCCTCTACTCGAATGCATATCAGTAACCTTTGAGTACTTGCTCTCTCTGACTTCTGAGTAGCACACCCATTGCATGCACACGCACTCACAAACAGGCACCGAGAGACACTAGGGGCTCTATCTTTGTGTCTGTTTTGCGCTGGTCAAGTGGTGTTCTCCTGAGGTGCAGTGGGATTTTTTCCTCACCTGTGTCTATTTGATATTTTGGTGAGGAGAAGCACAGTATGGCCTGTTTCATTGGTAACCCAGTGTAGTTCTGGAGGTGGTGCGCTCTTATAGCTAGCTCTAAAACTAAGCAAACCTCTATTATTCATGTTTTGCTTGTTTATAATACATTCTTCTACCAGTAGTCAGATTGTATTATACAGAAGAAAATCATTTTAAGGATAAGGCTGGCTATATTTATGTCAGTGTTAACAACACCCATAAAACAATCAAACCAACATTATTTACATTCATTTCTCAATATTTAACTACTATATTTCTCATTTCCTGTTTGTGTCTCTCAGCCCCAAGTTCCATTTTGTACTGTAATACTGGGTACCAGGGGTAATTTTTAGGAAATGTTACTCAAACAGGAGAAAATAGTGTATTCTGTAAGTGGGGCACTGTTTTCAGCAAGTATTTCAATCAAAAGGACAGTGTATGTGGGACTGACTCAAGATAATCTTCAGCGCCCATATTCATCTGTAATCATCATAATGAAAGAGCATGTTACTCAGAGCAACAGTGTGGCTCACTGATGTGTTTTTAATAGGTTTTGGTCAGCAGTAGAGGTGTGTGCAATGGAGAAACAAGCTTGTATTAACCTTATACACAGGCAATACTTGTTAGTAGTATTCACTGTTAGATGTGATGATAATGTGAAAATGATACACTACCAGAAGAGATAAACATCAACAGATTTTTACCAGCCCACGTACGTGGCCTCACCTGCGGTTAGCGTGTGGACCATTGTGATTCTTAATAAAAGACAAGAACAGGTTTTCTCTCAGAAGTTGCTGGTCTGGAATTTCTACTCCATTACCAAACTGTCTGTAAAACACTTTGGGGAGAGCATGGCTTTTAAAGGGGATAAGAGATGCCCATGTGGTTGGCCATAATTGTAACCAACCCCTAATGTATTGCTAATGTATGATAATGGATTGTTATTAATCCAAATCTGTTTCCGGGCCCCAGGAGCGATGTGCACCTACACCTGCTGTCCAAAAAGAAGTGTGCTGCCATTCCCACTGTGCACTGTATTGTTTGGTCCCTGGACATTGATTGACAAAATGATCAACCTTGGCTACATCACTGTGAATCACCCATAAGTAAATAGGATATAATAGGACTTTCTTACATTACGATGGTGCTGAAATCTGAAACAGTGTCTGTGCAATTTGGCGGCTTTCTCCTCTTTCACTAATTAGGAGTAATATACTTACTGGGCCATTTGTATGCTGGCCCCGAGAACTTCAGAAAACACATTCAAATTGACAAAACACAAGCAAAATTCATCTTCATCAATTTAACAACACAGGCACAGCATTTAGGAAAAACTGTGCAAAATGAGAAAACACAACTGAGAAATGTGCTGCAAATACAGAAGACACAACCAAATACAGAAACGTGCTGCACAGATGAAAAACAAAACACGGAAATGAGCTGGAAATACCACATAGAACAATGCATAGAACTTGAACTGTCCATCTGTGGTGTTGGAAAATGATCTAAAATGTATGTTTTTTTTTATTAAACATTCTGGTCACATGGTTCAGATATTATTATTATTGCTGTTAACCCGGCAGTGTTTCTGCAACCTGTTAGGTTGGGTTGTCTGTATTTCCAGAACATTTCTGTATTTGGTTGTGTTTTCTCATTTTGCAGCATTTTTTCTGAATTCTGCATGTGTTGTCAAATGGGTGAAGATGTTTCCTATATCTAATTGTGTTTTGTCTGCTTGTATGTGTCTTTTAAGTTGGATTGTGTTGAGCTTCTAGGGCCACGATACACACAAAATATCAGTCTGACATCTCTTTTTATTGCCATGCCAAAAATTCTCAGCTGCATTTCTGATAAATTAGAATTCCCTTTCAGTTATTACAGGTCAGGTACTGGATGGAAAATTTCTTTTAACAAAATTTATTAAATCTCATGTCCTTTATAGACCTGCACAAATCAGTTTGCAAATTCATTTACCTCAGGTCACATTAAGGCATTAAAAATGCTACACAATAAAAGTTTGCTACCATGTTACTCAACTCGATCCCAGAGATGCTGCGTTTTAGTATTCTCCACTCACAGTATTTCTGCGTGTGATGAGAAATTACTCTCCTCTTCCTACTCATCCCTCATTTATCTTGCTTTACCTCTACACCCTCTCATCCTCTACCTCCCCTTCTGCTCCAGATGAGCCAGGCCAGTTGAAGATCTACCTTCCTAAGAAGCTGCTGGAGTGTCTACCAAAATGTTCCTCTCTGCCCAAGGAGCGCCATCGCTGGAACACCAACGAGGTGAGAATGAGACACACTCAAGAGGGAAATATCTGTGACAGCGAGATGAACTCAGTGTTTTTGCCGGTGACTCATATCTAGCTAATGTCACATTGAGAGATGAAGAGGAGGTAAACACAATGGCACCTTTTCATTATAGGACCCTAAAACTGTGACACAAGGAAATAAAAAAAAACTGAGCTCCCAGCCAAATGCCCACTGGCTCTACATTCCACTTGGCATGTTGCTGTCTATTTTGTTTTGTAATCTAAGCAACTCTCGGTTGAGGCATAGGCATAGGAGTCAGGAGCTCCTGGGTCTAAAGCTATAGGGCTTAGAGGCTAAGAAACAAGAAATGAAGCTGTAGATTGAATGTTTCCATTGCTGGGTGTTACTGGGTTCAAAAAACCATGGTCAGTAGGATAAAGATTGGTATCTTAACCTAACATTGTTGCTATGCAACGGCAGAAATGTGTGGCACATTTCTGCTCGTGGTTGCTTTTTTCTGCCTTGTGCTATGTGTGAAAATGTTGCTCTACTTAATGTTGTCCTTCACAAAAAAAGAAAGAAAGAAATACTGTCTGTGAGGTAAAAACAAAATCAGTGGCCTTGCACTCAGAGGATTTGATCATAAAAGCAGCTCAAGGGCTTTTTGCATTTTACTCAATGTTAACCACATTTTAGAACTTTTTTTATGTTCTGACTGTTGAAGGTTTCACAAAAACCCATGACTATCACTCATTAATTTGAGGCCAAGGTTGCCCTCCTTTGGGTCAAAATTAGCTTTGTATTTTCAGTATAAACAATAGATAACTTAAATTCTGCTGATGGCTAAGTGATACAAAGTAAAATAGTGCCAAATTGGGTTGGGACAGTCCTTTGTTCAGAGCCAAAGATAACCTGGAGCTGAATGTCTTTGGTGTGAAAAGCTTTTCTGACTTGCATGTTGTTCCAGACTTAAGCTGTTAGCTTAGGGAAGTGTTTGATGGGTGGAAATGGATGCAGGCATTTATCGTCAATAGCTCTTGTTTATGCGTTGCACAGCTCTCCACTGGTGGTGTGCTCCATTCATTGTGATGTGGTTGGCCTCTGCTGAGACATTTTCTTCATGTGCAGGCTGTGCACTCCATTATGGATGTGTGTTTGTGTGTTTGTGTTATTGATTACCAAGCCCGGCATTATTATGCAATGCAAAGCTGATTTGGCCTGTGGTTTTTCTCTCAGGAAAGTCATTAAAATTTTCATGCAATTCATCTCAATGAAGGTTATACCGAGTGTTAAGCATGGTGCCTACTGAACAGTGTGTTCATGAATAGGCAGAGTGTGTGCATGTATGTGTGTGTGTGTGTGTATGGTTTAGAACAACATGACCGCTGCTGGTTAGGGACTTCCACACATCGGCTTAACCATGAGCAATTGTGCACAAGTTGCAGGAAGACCAGATCACCTTGTTGCATCTCCACCCTCTTGTTCTCAATCACTCTCCTTTCCAACAACTTATCATCTAGTCCTCTCTATCTTTCCCTGTCTATCCCCCACATGGCTCTCTCTCTCTCTCTCTCTCTCTCTGATGAGGAGGTAAAGGCTCAGTTCAGGGGGAGGTTGGGTGTCCCTCAGTGGATTCCTTCAAAGCTTCTTCCACCCAGGCATAAAGTTTCCTGCATACTTAAACACTTCATTGTGTCTGCTGCTCCTGTTTCTTGGTGCTTTCATAGGGGGAGCTGTGTGCATGTTCGCTGCACATGTATGTATTTCAGTCTTTGTATGTGTTTCTAACTATGTGTGTGAGTGTGTCCTGTAGGAATATGCACAGCTCCAGATTATTGCTCCTGATTATTTTGTAGCAGCTGCAACAAATGTATTGATTTTTTTATATATTTGTTCATTTTTATCTGTCTGTATTGCAGACATTTTTTCAAGCTGCTTTTATCAGCAGCATATTGAAAATTGAAAACATCAGTGGTCATCAAATTGCATATACATGTGTGGTTTTTTATGTCCACCATAAATTATAGTGTAAAACAATTTTACATGTGTGATTTCCAGACCAATCAGCTGCCACCTGTGAAGTCAGCTGTCAGATTTGAAGCTTTCAATTTAATTATTCAGTCACATCCCAGGAATGTGTTTGTGTGTGGTAACTTAAAATATATTACTGTTCAGGTCTAGAAGTTGCTCATGAAGTGTGGTGATGTGTTATTGACAAATCGAGGGCTGAAAAGGCCCAGCAATTATTTGGTGTGTAGACACAATTGTGTGTCTGTGTTTAGGTGTGTATGTATGCTTTTGTGCGTTTCCATAGAATTCTTTGTTTCCACTTGCACATTAGGAAATCAAGAATTAGTCTTGTGTTTTCTTATCCTCACTGTCTGGGTGTTGGGTTTCCTGCATGCTGTTTATAGCTGTTTGCATGCTGGAATTATCCTTTGTGTGTGTGTGTGTGTGTGTGTGTGTGTGTGTGTGTGTGTGTGTGTGTTTGAATAATTAGAGGAGAGTATGATAGATAAAGAGATTACCGATCTGTGTTTGGATGCCTTTGATTAAGTTTTCATCTGTTATGTTTGTCTGTGCAAGTGTGTGTGGGCACCTCTGTTTGTTTTCTTGAACCGTTGCATGATTGCATATGATCCCCTGATCTCTCTTTTGTTGTCCCCCCCACCCCCCTGACATGAACACTGAGCTATGACCCCATACATTTTTACCCCATCCACTCCTCCTCCTCCTCCTCCTCTCTGTCCTTTCCTCTCTTACTCCCCCCCTCTCTTTTGTGTATCTACTGATGTGTGAAATTATTCTGGGATGGAGGGATAGATTCCTCCCTGAAGGGCTGAGCGGAGGCGTGAGCCTTTTGTTCAATAATAGATTGGGGGTGTATGTGTATCTGTCCATGGTAATAGACTATGGAATAGTTTTAGATAACAAACCACACTCAGGTGGACAGACTGAAGGTAGAGTAGGGAGGCTATCAAACTTTTTAAACATGTAAACAAAGACAAACTTTAGAATCTAGTCCCGGGACTCCAGCTCATGCAAAGATATAATTACTCTTATGGGAACCCTTGACATCCTGGGTCATATTTTAAGAAGCCAAATACATTCAAACTATGAAATGGGCAAAACACATGCATTGTGCACACAACTGCATAACTGATCTATTGTACATTTTAAAGGCTTCTACCTCAGAACAGCCTTACCATCTCCCACTGATTCCAGTGATGCAACCGTCAAACGGGTTGACTTCAATACAGTACATCCCAGTATATACATCACAGTGCTTCTGCATGTGAGTCTGCTCCACACGTTGTTCAACTGTGCAACAAAAAAGAGTGTGAGGAAAAGACAAAATAATATGATGAGAAACATGCAGTGTTTCATTGTAGGACTTCATTCTTGTCACGTGTGATATGATGGCGGTTGCATGGTGTGAAAGCAGCTAGTTTACAGTTCACACACGCTCACGTCTGACTCGGCTGCTGCATGACACTAACACGATTGCTTGAACGAGAAGCAGATCAAAAAGCATATACATTTTAGACCATTGTCCCATCTGCCTCCTGTGCATGTGTGTGTGTGTGTGCATCCAGGAAAGGTGTTGCTATGGTAACAGATTGTGTGTGTTTATTCCCGCTAATGGTATTATTGATGTTACATGTGTGACACAAATGCTGTTCATGTTAAGAGAGACGTGACATTGCCGGTACATCTAATTGCGAAGCCAAACGTGTCTGACAGACAAATAATAACAAAAGCTCTCAATTTCAGGTAGAAATGTCAAGAACCCACTCATACTCACCTGTGTCTGCTCTGGTGTCTCAGCTTGTGTGAGCTCCAATTTCTCACACAAACAAAGCTCTGTGTGCATGTGTCTGTGCGCATATTTAATTTATTATTTATGTCGTTATTGTTGCTTTTGAGCCATTAGATAGGTACATTGAATTAAATATGAATACATTCTATCTCTACATTTCTTCAGAGAGATATTTCCAATTTTGTCCATGTAGGTAAAATATGAGGCAGGAGAAGTGTCTGCAAAAGAAGTTACATGATGTTACAGTAAATATCAGTTACAAGACTGCATGAAAGAGTACTATGGATCCATTATGGAAACCCAGTTAGCAGACAGCCAGTTGCTGGCCTCTATGTTCCATTTATACAGTGGTGAAGGGTGCCCTTGATTTATGACTTTGATGTGTGAATTGCTAATGTCCAGCTCACACTGGCACGGGGCCGGGACAGGCTGACACTCTCCATTTTGTCGGCCGTGTCAGAACAAAGACAAAAGTAACGTGCCTTTGGAAACTTACAAAAAGTTCAATTTTTTAAATGAGATGGGTGTGCTGTTTATGCATATGGTAGACAACATGTTTGTGAGAGATTTAGTAGTGTATCCACATCAGGGTGTGTGGGTATGTGTGTGTGTGTCCCAGTCACGGCTATGGCTGTAACCTCTCCAGTCGACATTGAGATTTGTGCTGTTGCAGTTTACCAGAGTAAAGCATGGTTTAATGAGGGGGGCTAAGAAGCCAACACACACACTGACATGTGCACACATGCATGCACACGTGTATGCACCCAGACATGCACTCACACACAATACCAGAAGGGTGTTTCACAGCTCCCAGTGTTTGATTTCTATTCTTTTAATTTTAATCATTCTTCTGTCTTTTGGTTTGAGAAATATTTTATGTTTGGAGAGCACCAAGTTATAATCACTAATTAGTCCTTCAGGCTCTCTCTCTCCCTCCCTCTCTCTCTCCTCCTCTTTGTCTAGCTCTGCATCTCTCTCTGAGCTAAGCATAGCCCAATTAACGCCCCATGTCATTTTGTGTCTGTTGTGACTTTTATTTCTACCACAACTCCAGATACCCCTACTGCTCTGCTGACCGAACTCGAGATATGAGCCAAATGTGCAGCAATGCAAATAATTAATCAGATTCATTCTATTCATAAATGTAATTTCCTCATTGACACGTGTAATTATGCAGCAAGCTATTCATTTGTAAATGTGACTCTATGGTAAA